ATTTTATTGAGTAAATATATTTTACATTTCACTATTTTGATAAATAAAATTAATATTAGTCCTAGTAGTTATGATGGCAAATATTGCAAAATAAAATTATAGATATTAAGTTCTAGGCCGTAATACTTTAGAAAAATAAATCTGTTTATTGGCATAACGTCATAATTTCAAATTCACTACGTATTCTCTTAATTGTTGGTAATAGAACAACAGCAAGATAAGTGAACCTAAGAGACACTTAGGCTGGATTGCATTAAGTCTTTGTTTTGCCAAGAGCTCCACCTCAAGGACCCTTGGGTTCGGTGTTGTGATTACAAGAGAAAAATAAGAGGTACAATAGTTTATTTAAATTTGTATCTGTTAGTACATTTGCATGATGATAGGCTGTTGATTTGTATAATATCAATGTATTTGTACCAACTTTATTTTTAATGGTGCTTATATTGGAGCTATTATAAAATTCTGTACAAAGTTGATTCACATTGTACATGTGTACTACTTATTTAAACTTTTGATTTGGCTGTATAAACAGAAAAAATATATCTTCGTATATATAAAAGGCAACAGTACTTTTCAAACTTCCTTGTCTTTGAATAATCGATTAAATTTGACCGAACATGACTCCTGTCCAACCTAATATAAAATAAAATATATTGCTACTGATTTGATTAAATATTATTAAAAAGCTTTAAAAATATATACAGATGACTGTTTATTGGTATTCTCATTGAGATTTAACCGCGAGTGCAAATGTATTTCAATCGATCGCTGAATATTGCCAATGCAAAACTATATCCATCATTAACTAGACCAATATTGAAACAACAGTAACACAATTTTCGTAGAATAATGGCCAAACAATCGCGTTTACAAAGTTATTGCTGGACATAAAAATGAGAGAAGGTTAAAATTGCATTCCTAATTGGTTCTTGTTTAATTGGAATACAGCTGTAGAATTAATAACGAAGATTTAAGAATTATATTGTAATTATACTATCAAAAATTTATCTCACTTTTGATGCGGTTGTTCTAAGTAATTAGGAACCTCTCAAACGTTATGTTTTAATGTTTTAAGTATTACCCATACATGATGTTAAATGACGCAAATCTGGAAACTACAGAGGTGACTTACAGAATTGCTTTATTTAAATTTACAGTCATTGGAAATTAAAGATTAAAATGTAAAATATTTGAATTGAAAGCCTCACTAAGGAGTAAAACCTTTTTATAACCATCCAAACTTTATTTTAAAGTTTGAAAATTAGGTATCCAGGAAGACTTAAAGGAAAATCCGATTTTTGTTTAGACCTACCTAAGCTTTAAAGTGCAATTTCCAATATTAATCAACAATGCATGTTCAATGAGCAACTATGCATCGTCAAAAGCTCTAAATTATAGGTCGTGAATAGTTTTGACGTTATAGCTTCATAAATTTAGCTTTGCCAAACCAGATTTGTACATATTTCCTTGTTACTTAAATTTATATAAATACAACAGTTTCGATGGTTCTACTACTGTCTCGAAAATTATGTATAAATATAAAGAGATTGGTTATAATTGAATAAAGATCCATTTACTGGGTAGGAAATGTAAATTTACCTGTGTTGACAGTGCAAGGTTGTACTAAACACTATTCGTCATACAGCTGGTCTAATAATGTTTGCTTCATCACATTGTGTATGTAGCCATACCAACATGAATTGACGATGCTAATGAAGTTATAAATAAAATAGGATTGTGCGCAGGTTGATGTAGATTAAACTTTGATTCACTTCCCAAATATTTACAACACTTATGCCATTGAACGTAAAAAGTATAAAGAATAACAATTTAACAACATGAGGTTGAACTAGAATCTAGGTAGGCCTATAGTAGTCAAAAATCTAAGAGCTGTTATCAATTAAAAGCCATTTGTTGATTTCATAGAGTTTTGTATTTTATTTAATGTATTATAAACGTTTTATACTAAGAATAACCACTTTAAAGATGTAATCCAAATAAATATAAAAATTTACAAATTCAAAAATAAGTGGGAACTGGAAACGTATGTGCTTTTATTTTATCATCATGAAGCATAATCTGTTTATGTTGAAATACAGAATTGGTGTAAATACCTGATGCATTGTAATGCTAGTTGCTAGTGTCGCAACTGTTAGCGAGATTCATGGAGTCATCTTCAGGTGTTTAAGGATTTCATGACCACTTCGCAGAAGGTCATCGATCTATTAAATATATACATAGACACAAATGTGAACATTGATACGGTCAAACAAAAAATAAACAAAACGGTAACAGCGGTATGGAGAGCAATGCGTCACGACTAGACTAGCTTAAAAGCAAAAACCGTAAAGGTAAATTCTTGACCGTTTAAATTGACAAATCATAAAGCTTTGCAAAATTTTAAATGTATTAAATATTGAATCTAGAGGAGAATGAGACTCGTTGCAACCCTACTGGGTTGAAACTTTATATAATCGATCTAAGACCCTTTTTTTACATGAAATCAAAATTATGGTTTTTAATTAAAAGATTTTTTATTTTTTTCGATTTCAGCACTATTTCAATTATTTTAACTACTTGTATCTCTATAACTTGATTAAAATTCTAGGTGATGGTACTCCACTCATACCTTAGTAAGAAAGCTATATAGTGCCTTGATTTGTAATTGGTTTTAATATTTTGTATATTTAAATTACTGGTCAATGAAGCGTTCACCCATGATATTTCTTTTTTAGAAAGTAAATCAGTTGAGCTAATAATAAATCAGCAATGGTTTAAATACATAACCAATTTGTTGATAGCTTAAACAACACCTGATCCGTCATGTGCTTTACTTGTTTGATGTTTAATCATAATATGATAATTTTCTTTATGTTTTCTTGATGCTAGGTTCTAGGTGTTATTAATATACTGGCTTACGTAAATGTATTTTAATTGAAATTTTTTAGTATGTCTATTCACGTATGATGATAATTAACTGTTAGAAGTTTATTTTAAAACAGGCTAATCCTTAAACGTTACGTTAGTATTACTGTGATTACGAACCAATAAAGTTGCAAAATAACAACCTTAGTGTTTGTATCCAACTATAGGAATTGAAATGTTTAAAACACATTTTCCTGGACGTTATTCGTTTAACTGCGTCACTGAAGTTCTAATATTGGGCTTGTTAATGATGGATACAGTGTGGGACCAACAGTGATCAGTGAACACACATGCGTTGCTGTTGTCAGCTCGTTTGCAAGCAAATACTTGTTCCAGGCAAATATAATTATAATTTCCAGGTTAATTTTATTAATCGATATAAATTATATTCTTATATTTGATCAATTGTAAATTGTACATATTAGCAATAAATTTTGCAGTTGATTGACATAATTTCATTAAAATTTCAGAGATGTGGGTTTTTATTCAATAGTTTATTAGGTTTTCTACTATGACTGGTAGTATTATATGTTGCGAAATCAGGACGAGAACCCACGATATAAGGTATTTGGATTCGTAGTCTAAAGAGCAAATAAATGGACTATTTACCTACATATTTAATGCATTCGTTATTTGTCCATATACTTTGCGTAAATTAATAGATATCAGGCTGAAATTAAAAATAGTGAATGTGTTGCACTGATAATAGAGACAAGAAGAGGTAACAAACATAATTTTACTGAGTGTATGCCTTATATGTCTATACAAGTTTATATTAATGAATTTAATACAGATTTTAACTTTGTTAAAAGCTAATTTCATGTAACAACCATGCGAAAACAGGTAAAACTATCGCAGTCAAAAATAAAACAAAAATACTGAGTCATAACTTATGTTTATGAAAGCAATCGCAAGAAAATCTTATACGAACTAACAAATAATGAGTTTCACCTTTCCAACCAGCATAGTTGGTTGATAAATGTAGTCTTTTGATCCTCTCTAGTCTGAGGAAGCTCCATAACTACCAAAGTTTGTTCATTATGCAATGTTTATCACACGTGCTCTATACAGAGCTTCATTGTTAAGGAGTGTTAATGAGAAACACTACACGTTTGCAATATAATGCTGAGAATGGAATTTATTGTGAAAAGTACGTAGTAATATATTTATAGATTGTTCAGCTAAATTGTGGAATTCATCTCGTAAGGAAATAAAGTCAAATTAACTATTTGAAATTGAGTTCTATTATTATTATTTGAATTGCATTATAGTATTTTAATATTTATGAGTTATTCAATAAGTACTGTATCTTACAAATGTTTCTCACCAAAAAGTTATCGGTATACTTACTTGAGAACTCGTCCAAGACAATCTGTTTTACCGGTACATCTTAACATACAACACGTTTCCGAAATAGGTAAAACAATTCATTGCCGAAACATGTGAAAATGCCCGAGTAAATCTTGCTTTTTTAAGAGTGGAACCATGAGCTATAATCAATTTTTAATAGATCAGCACTTTAATATTTGTAGTTTTTTTACATCGTACAAGTATTAATGTGTTTGCCTAGATAATGTTGTTTATTTACTTTATCGTTCTTTAATACTAACGGCAAACTAAAGGGGAAAAAACCATTTACAAAAAGTAATTTTAGGTCCATAAAGAACAGTAGGAAGAAATTATTATTTAATGACTATGACCAAGGTATATGGGTTTTAAAATAGACAATACGATGTATAAAATATTTCGGCAATCATGTATATCGATGCAATCATTGGCAGTATTACACACATTTTATTATCAATTATATAAACGACAATTAGAAAACGAATTGGTTATACTTTTCCCTATAAGAACGAAAACAATAACCATTTAAAGAATGCCCTAACAACAACTAAATACTCAGAAATTGGAAGTTATATAATAAATCAATCGTACTATAAGTGAATATAATCTAAAATGTGTGACCTATTAATACCCTAAAACCGAAGAGAGTTTATCAAATAAATACTGATAAACACTCACCAAATTCGAGTAAGTTAACGTGTTAGACAAATTATGGCGATAATATTATCAGCACCTAATGTTTACTAGTCAATGATATCACAAACTTAAATGCTTTCGTTTTCCGTTCGGGAGTGATAATGTAAATCTTAGCATTATTTCCATTGGTGTTATTGAATGTATTCCCCCATCATGTAGCCAAAATCTAAAGGTAAGCGTGACAGTTCCTTTGCCATTAGACAAAAATTCAGATAAGATAGAAATTATAAATGATAATTATTATCATATGAGAGACAATCAAAACACCAAACGATACGTTAGTATTCAAATATTTTATCAATACAACAAACATATTTTAGAAAAATCCTAAAGTCAATAGTGTAGCCATTGAAACCATATTAAAATCTTATGATCCACTACTATGTGCAAATGTTAATTTACCAATCTCTCTGTTGCTACCTGAAACCACTATTCTTTTAAAAATAATGTATTTAAACTACCTACTCATATAATTAATTATATATTTTTCATACAGTAATATGTTATGAAATCTTAAAACATAATGTTGTCACTTTATCAACTTTTATCATATGTACTTGACAGTAAATGCCCATTTTAATTTGACATAAAGCCTAACAAACATTGAGCTTTTCTTATGCTAACCAAACATTGATTAATGTCACTATAATTTCTTTTATTTGATTTGAAGGGGGAATGTTTACTTCAAGGTATTTCATCTACAGCTGAAATTATCTTTGAAGGGTAATGCAACAGTAAGTACGATTTACTATTTTTAAAAAATAGACATATTCCAAGAACAGTTTTAAATATCTACTTAGGTAGCAACTGCACTAGCATAGCATTACATGTTTACTGAACTATTACCGGGTGAATTCTAGGGAATATGGTACCGAACATAATAGTACGGGAGAATTGGGGGGCTATGGAACCAACGGTACGACGGTACCTCCCATTGCCCGTGTCAAACGTTGCGGTTCATCACTGGACCCCTGTTGCCTTTAACAAGAAGAATCTATGGGAGCCATGCACTACCAAAGAGGAATGCATGGAGAGATGCAGAACCATACAGAAAATGGCTATGGAGTGGCCGTACTTTCATTCTGACATTGGTTTCAAGTACGGTATACGTTTTGTTGATTAAAACATTTTTAATTGCATTAGGAAGTAACTAAGAAACGTTTTGTTTGGTCATACCAGTAAAAGACGGTTAAATTAGCTTTATTAACATAAAATGGCATAAATCAGTAACAGTGCATTCCGGTTAAATAACACTTACAGGTCTAACAGATGTATTGAACCATGAGTATTAAATTAAGTATAAACTTATATAAACGTATAAATTAAGAGAAATTGAGTATAAACGTTTGGATAATTTTAAAGTAGCAAGAATTTCTCACTGAGAGTATGTTTCAAATCAACAAATACAAAACTTTCCAAGTTTGGAGATTCAAAATAATGCATTTTTTTCATGGGATAAGTTAGAACCAGATTTAGGGAAATGAGTCCTGATTTGTTAAAATACTTACTATAATTGGTTGACAGTCAATTAGGTGAACGGGGTTGTTACCTTGCAGTTAATAATTTTAAGTTCAATAAACACTTTTACAATATCCATGCAATATAAAGATGTAAGCTGTAAACCTTATTTGTGAAAAAATATCATTAAACCTTATCCCATTTTCCTAATAAGTGAATATCAAACTTCTAGAGGACTTGTAGGTTTGAAAATGTTAATGGAATTCGTATTGTTTAAGTTAAAAGCTCCCTGGACTTTTACCTCATCACAACATTCTTACGGCAAATTCCTAATAAGTTATTTTCTTCAGCTTCCTTGTTGGTGGTGACCTCAACGTGTATGAAGGTAGAGGGTGGAACTCTTTGTTGACGGAAGATTCGTACTGGGATGGACTCAAAATTGGACTCATTGGTCGTTGGAATCAGCGTAAGATAATATTATTACAAACATCAATTGATTCTTCAATTGTTGTTTAATTATGACAATTCTGTCCCCCATTTTTTTCCAACACCACCTGGTTTTACTTGAAGAAACGGTTTTTTCAATATTGTTGTTCCCTTATTTATATTTTTGTACACTTACAATACAGGGTAACACACGGGAGACGAATGGTTTTCATCTGCGTAGTACTGAGAGTGGTGGGAGGTGGTCGTAGTGGGCATAGTTCTGCTCTACACAAAATGTAATTTTGTTAACTCAATCACTATGTAACAGTGGGACCTGTAACGTTGATTTTTTGCTATGGCAGTTTCATGAAAAGTGGTGAGTATTATCACAACTACATAAATGATTGTTTCGAGTCGTAGCACATTCCTCAGATGAGTGAAAATCTTAACAGTTGGCTGAAAAAATACTGAATAAGAAGCATCCTTGCCCAAAACGCAGTGTAACGAAACCAGAACATGTTGAAAGCGTAAGGGAAGCGCAAGTAGTAGTCAGAAGCCCAGGACGGTCAGCTAGAGGTCATGCTAGTGGGCTGCGAATTATTCGTTAAATGGTTAGACGAATTTTGATACCAGTATGTTTCCAGTCAATCTGAAGTTTTTGACCCATCTCAGGATTGTGTTACGGCTCGGAACAGGTCAATGCCAACCGAAATTAAACCGTGTACGAAACAATCGTTGTGTAGTTTTGATAGACTCACCACTCCTCATGAAACTGCCATAGCCAAACAATTGACGTTACAAGTCCCACTGTTCCATAGTGACAGAGTAAATGAAATGGCGTCTTGTGTAGAACAGAACTTTGCCCTCTATGGCCACCTCCCACCACCGCACCCTCAGTACTAGGTACTATGCAGGTAAAACCCGTCCGTGTCCCGTGTGTCACCCTGTACATACGAGTCTTAGAAACAAAGATACATAAATAATATTGCTCCATTCAACTCCTTTCTATTCTTATTCTTCTATTCATAAATGAATAGAATAAAAGAAGTTTACACTTCCTGTTATGTGCCAATCTAATTTAGTATTAACTTATAATGATGATAGGGTGAATGTATGCAACTAATTGGATACGGTTTATTTTGATATCATTAGATTGTTACGATCCCCACACACGCAGGGGAGCGTTTTAAAAGACGAATTTAAGTGAAGGATAGTGTTGAAAAAAATACATGAGAGCTGTTTATTGACGTACATCAGTGGTATTCAAGCAAGGATAATTAAATTAACAGCTGAATGACAAACACAAATGTTTAATATCTTTTAATCTCAAACAATGTATCTGTTTACAGACAATCCAGCACCGGACTCTATGAAGGAGGTTGTTTATCAGTTGATTGACTTTGGGAAGAAAAGACAATATATTAAAAATGATGCTTACGTGTTTGACACACTGTTTGAAATAATTGATTTTGAGGACTAAGTTTTAAGTGGTATAATAGTGAAGGAATATTAAATGTATAGGGTTTTTACGGTAAGTGATTAACAGTTATTCTGGATTATATTCTAGGATAGCCTTAAGTAAATTACAAATGATTATAAACTAACAATTAAAAATATTATTACATTAAGAAAGTTATCAAACATAAGGAATTAAAATTATGTCTGTACATATATACTATGTAAGTAAGCATCCGGAATGCAACAACGATACTCTGATAGAGCACTAAAAAGGAGTTTTTCTAAACCCCAGCACAACGTTTGTCATATTTTACTATAATTTTTAAAAACCCTGATTAAATTCCATAAAATAATAATAAACAAATAAAAACCCGAGAAAATTATGACGTGTACTAATACAGTATTCTACTATTTGTATATATTTTCAATTTTTAATGTTTCATCTCAATGGACCTACTAAGTTTACGTAGAGCAGTTCCATTTATTTTAAAACAAATATACACTCCTATTCAAACACACAAAATACTCAATTCAATTGTCAGTATAATAATTAGTTGTGTATTATATGTTCCAATTAATTAATAAAAATCTGACGATTTGTAAAAATCTTTTTATAAATCTACGGTTATAAAAGTCAAATATGACTCACTGATCACTAGATCTCAACAACTGCAAGCCATAACAACTCAGGACTAAGCATGGAGGCTCCAAACAACCTCTACGAATCAGTGATTAAAACAGTAAATATATACTTTATATGTTTATTTAAACTTAATGTACTCTATTCCCTTATCAATAAACAGAGTGTTATGTTGCAATTCACTCCGATATCCCGTAGTAATACAGGCAGTGGCAATGATTACAGCCGCATGACAAGTTAATGTTCCAATCATTCCAATACTACCAGTGCCGTGATTGGCTATATGTAACGTCTCTGCTGCTGCATTGATATTTGGGTTGGCCTACTTAACTTTAAATATTATCATATAGACCTGCTAATAATTGTCTACTATCCTGTTATCGTTGGAAATGGGGATTGGTTGAGGCGGGTCGAAATATGGATTCAGCAGAAGTAAAATTGTTTGTTATGAAATGTGGGGATTTTGAAAATTTGGGAACGCAGTAATTAACATGTTGGGTTTAATTAGAACACATAAATATATTATAATAAAAAAAAAACAATATTTAGCCTCGGAATCTAAAAATTATATTCTTTTAAATTGTTTTTTTATAGCATGTAATTCAAATTTATTTTCAATGTAAGAACAAGTCATAATTTGAACACCTATTTGTTTTTCAATTTTTGGAATTGGTTTGGATATGTACGGTATCCATACGGTAACTATATTAACATAATTTGTTGCTTAGGGTAAGTTTCGTAGAAATAACGAGTTCCTGTTGTAATTGACGAACTCAATATATTTATTTAGTTTACAAAACGTGCTAAAAACACAGTCTACAGTGCAGTATAAATGCATTTGAATTCATATAAAAAAATGTATTAGTTTTATTAATGGTAATATTAAAATATTATACACAATTTTCTAAATTAATGTTTTAACTCATTATTTTGAAGAAATACAAATTTTAATTTAATATTAGGTAACAGAATATTTCTGAAAGTATTTATCGGCTATATTTCAATAATATGTGATGAAAAAGTTTTTCTTGGGACCGCAACCAAAAAGATCATTATGGATAACAGGGCTTCATAAAATGCTGAAAAATCTGTTGAATGTATATTTTTGTTATTCCAACCATGTAAATTAATGGTATAACAATAAAATGCACCTTCGACAGAATCCTCAACCTATCGTGTAAAATAGGAAGACAGTTCATGTAAAAAACCTAACAAGCTTTCAGCTTTCAGCATAAACTTTTAAAACCATACTTTGAGAATTGTATATTGTATTGTGATTTTGTTCATTTCAGTAGATTTTTACTGGAATCCCTGTATTTCCTTTCGACATAAAGGCTAAAAACCACGGATACATAACAGAGGAGACTATGATGACTGATACGAGTAGAAAACATGACTTCAGCTTGGTGCCATTGCGTTTCAGGTGTTAACGAAATCAAATAATTAGATTACGTTCTATATGAAAAAAACTTATATTTTAGCTAGCCTAAAGTATGATCTGTGGAAATTTTCAATAATAATAAGTAACTAGCAATCAACAAAACAAAGGAAAAAATAATATAGAATAAATCAAGGTTTTTTATATATTAAAAATAATTCCAAGATAATATTTAAAAGCCAAGACTATTTCTTAGACTACAATAAGACTAGTAGCCTATGTTTAAATTACTCGAAGATTTACACAATGTTTATTAAAATGATAATTTAAATCATAAAAGAATAAAAATATATTTCATATTATGTGAATCTATTAATTATTAGTAAAATTCTTAGAGCAAATCAGAACTAGCAAATGAAATAAAAAAGTTAAGTGTAAAAACAAAAATGAACGAAGATAATTAATTAAGCATATGTAGTAGGAGAAACAATAATTCAAGACGTTAGATAAAATTAGGACAGGTTTATGGCAAAGAAAAGGCCTTATTAAAAAATAATAGCAAAATATCTTGGAGAAAGAAAATATTTGCCAAACTCTGACTATGTTACGAATAAATCAAAATTGTTAAAGAAAATAAATATTGATATTAGGAATAGTAAATTTTTGGGTATACCTAACACTTTTTACTGTATGATCAATCGATTAAGTAAATAAGTTTCTGCAAAAAAATTATAAATTATAAGTTTTTAAGGACTACGCAAGATTATTTAAATAGTGCTCAAAGCTATTAGGTAAAACATACTAAAAACAATTGTCTAGATCTCTTTCTATGATTTATCAAGGATTTTATTCCAACCAAATGCGTATTACATTTTCCGTGTTTGCTTGACCTATGATTTTAGTTTAATCACACCAGGTTGTATATAAACTGGCAGACAGGTTTATTACAGGCGCATATGTGACCATGTCCACAGCAGATTGCATTCGCCACATATGTTATATGTGTTAATATAGCTTGAATGCACATGGGGAGAGGGTTGCGTTATGAAAAGCATAGGTTTGAGGGTAAAATTCTTTCTAGGTTTTTAAATCACTGTGAAAAAGTATTATTTATAAGGACCTATATCTTAGGCTAAAATAATATACGAAGATTTTTCCCAGTACACTATGAGTTAGGAAATACCAAAATATACTACTAAGTTACTACCAATAAGTAATACTTGTTACTACTAATAGTAGTACTAAGTACTACTAAGTTAATTTTTTTCTTGGTCAAAAAGCTTAAATATATATAGGACACGAAGGATGATCCTTTTAAACAAAAACGTCAACAAAGTGTAACTTGCTGTTTATCTTATTTAAATTAAAACTTTATATGCAATTCATGTACGTAAGATTTTTTTTCTTTATTCTTGTTCAGCATGGTGTAACGTTTGATAAGAATTCAACAACTACGACACGGAATATTTGAGAAATAACCCACCAGTAAATTTATACGCAGACCAACCCCATTACCAAGGTGACAATTTCAACACTTTTCACTAACTATCTTAAACCTTAATTGCCTAAAACAGCAACTGGTATTAAATAGCTTAAACTTGGGTGGAATACTATTACAAAAAATGATTCTTTATTTCCATAATGTAATCAATGGAGAAGAATAATATAAAAATAATAGGCCTATTATGGAAACAAAAATTTACAAAAATACCTTTGTTAAAAATTTAAAGTTAAAAGAATAACTAGATATCATGCTGATGATGTATTTATTTCAACTTTTAATTTTATATTCATCTGGTACATCAAGTCGTTATACATATTTTTTATTAATCGATGCTCTTATGCAAAGAAAAAGGTAACGTCAATTTAATGTAGATACTAATATTTTTAGGTTTTACTATAACCGTACTATAAGCATTTAAAATCGTGTCTATGTATATCGCACAGCTATCAATATGAGAGACAACTCTCTGTCAAACGTTTGAACGCGCTGATTGCCAATGCCTTTGATTGCAGCCAGTATGTATCTGCCCTTCCAAACACGACTTTAAAATTCACCATTGGTTCATCAAAAGGAAATTCATACGGATATTGTTGTTTTGTTTACATGGCAAAGACACAGCATCGTAGATAAGGATAATATAGTTAAATTTAACATATATTAAGTTCTTTTAGCCTAATGCAAAAGTGCAAATTGTACGTGTTTATTCTTTAAGGGCCTTCGTAAATAAATACTTAAAAAAAAATTAATACATCTATGCTTTAGTATAAAGTTGTCTCATGATATAATATATTTCATTAATCAACAATATTAAAGTATCTGACATTCAAAATTTAAGATTTTTTTTTAATTTCGGATTTTAAAATTACCAAGAGCTATTAGTGTTTATTTTAATGCAACAATAAAATAATACATTACTTTAATTTGTCGATAAATTAATTTGTAATAACATAATACATGGATTATTAAAATCGCCTTTTTAGTGGCAAACACATAATAGTTTGAAAATTATAATAGTAATTATATATTTTTATTGACTATATGCATAGTTAGGCCAAGTTATATCTGTAGAACATGTAAAATATCAAATAAATAGTAAAATAAAAAAACTTATCTTGAACTAACTTAACTTATCTTTTTTTTATTCAAGCGTAAATTTTTTCATTCTAAAAATTAACCAAACATTTTCGAAAAGATAATTGATTTTATCCTATGTCAAAGGGTAACACAAACATACAAACCAGAAAACACTACTAATAAACTTTATAAATTAAACTATTGGTTAAGTGAAACTCTTAGGCGTATAGAGTATTAATGAATTAATTATCACAATAACTAGATATCAAATATGAATACTATTATGTTGCTAATGAAGTGTGTTATATTTGTTTGAACGTAGGGTTTTACATTTGAGATAAACAAAATTGCATTTCTAAGTTAATGTCAGAGCCTTCTAGGTCAATACTCATATACAAAGTGGGAATTGAGTGCGGTGAAGTTATGGACGTTAGTAACCTAAAACCAAAGAGATATTTTCATGCGTATAAATAAATAAAACATTATAAATAATAAATTAGATTAAATAAAAATACAATAAATTATTTTGTTCTATAAAAAGTCCCTTTGAGTTAAATATCTTTAATGATGCTTACAAGTAATTTAATGTATAGATTAAAAAAAACATTTGTTATTCACATACTAGATGTGGGTATGACATGGGAGTATTTTCATTTTTTTTTTTTTGCATTTGATAACATTTGTAAATGTTTATTCGACGTGTTATAGTAAATTCATGTACAGAAAACTATTTAAATAAATTTTACTTTAGGTACAGAATCAGATTATAAATTGATGAAAGTTAAAATTGAATGAACATCTATTACTAAACAAAATGGAAACATACTAGAGGCATACATTAAAGTAATGAGACAAACAATTTTAACTTGTGGTTATAAAAGAAAAATAATAACACGAATTGCAAAAGTATCAGTTGTATATAAGAATAATAGTGGTACTCTCACCAATTCAGGTCAATTGTTACAATCTGGAGTTTTCTATCTCTATTTGCACTGTCACAGATGATAGCAATGAATTCCCAGTAGTGCCTAGTTACATTGCTTCGATCTTTAACAATAATAAATGTAAATAGCTTTAACCTATTCGTACTTTGAAATTAACGAGATAGAGTAAAAAAGTCTTAGAAAGAATAGTTATTACCTTGTTAA